CCGTGAGGGGAAAGGGGCTTGGGGAGGGCTTGGCTTGGGCTGTGAGGGGTGATAGGCCGTGGGAGGGACTTGGCTTGGGCCGTGGGGCTGACAGGCCGGTGGGGGGTGGGGGGTGTTGGCTCGGGTCATGGCGGGGGCCTTTTGAGGCATCCTTGCAGGGTTTGTGAAGCGCTTGAGGAGTTTTCAGCAGGGTCTGGTGCAAGGGTGTGGAGTGGAAGAGGGAGGGGCTGGCATGGCCTCTGGTGGAGAGGGGTCCTGGTAATGCCTGGGGGAGGAGAGGCAGAATGTGAGAGTTGGAGGAACCTTATTTTGGGAGAGGAGTGGTGTGTTTCTAAGGCCTCCTGTCAGCATGCCTTGCGCTGGGAACGTCCTGCTTTTGGGAACAGCATGTGTGGTTGTCTGCTGTGGGACAGTGTAAACTGGAGTCTTACAGTGTGGTGCCACCCTAGCCCATCACTGTGTCTCCCGGAGTGTTACTGTGAGGCTGTATAAGCAGGGACTTGGCGGGACAGATTCCTGAAGACCACGTGGATCTTTGTGCAGCTGCTTTCTGCTCAGGCACCTTCAAAAACAAGGGAGTTAGGCTGTTTGCTTTGCAGAAGCTTCTGAGTTCCTGCAGCTTCCTCAGGTTGCAGGAATGTACTTACTCAGTGCTTTGGCAATAATTTGGAAACAAAATTCCGGTGCTTAATTTGAGTTGCTGGCATTAGATCCAGTGCTCTGTTCAACAGTTGGCACCTTGGGAAGAGAGACTCACTCCTAAGGGGAACCTCAGGTTTTGCATGGTAATAGTGTAACTGCTGTTTCTTAATTCAGTTTGTGTTTTTGGACGTTTTTTAATCTCTCACTCTGCTATTCTCTTCCTCCTTTTACAAAAGGACAATGTAAATTATGAGAGAAAGGAATGCAAAAAATAAGTCTGATTATACAGAGTCATTCCTGATGGTGGGTGAAAGGAATAACTGTATCTGTTCTGTGTGTCATAAATTACAGTAGCAAACCAAGATGCATCTAAGCAGATGTGTGCTTTGTAGGTTTACAGCAACAAGTTTTAATGATGTTGTATTTCTGCTTTGACCCTTCTCTTTCTTTTTGTCTTTCCTATGGATTGGCCAGTTTTGGTATGTGTCTGAGAGGGTTATGTGTCCCAGACAGATTGAACTCCCGCAGGTTTTATGAACATAGGCTGCTGTGTAGAAAAGAGGTTCAGCCAATGGAAAAAATGTGGTGTGATCTCAGTCTTTCTTAGAAGAGACAGAAAATGTGATGGGATGGCCAGTGACGATGTGGGTGGGGGCTCTGCCTTGGCAGGTGTTTCACAGCTCTCGTGGAGAGGCTTTTCAACTTACTGTCTTAGAGAAACTGAAGTAAACTATTCCTCTTTGCCAGCATATGTACAGCTACTTCCCAACTCTCTTACAACAGGATTTTCAGTTCAGAGCGCTGAAGAAGGTCCGCATCTTTGATGCTCCGGATGATCTTCCCAAAGAGCGCTCTAGTCTCCTTGCAGTGTCTAACAAATACGGGCTGGTCTTTGCTGGTGGAGGAAGCAGCCTGCAGATCTTTCACACTAGAAATCTTCTCATGCAAAACCAGCTGGGAGAAGATCCCAATAAAATTGGTAAGGCATCCTTATGTCTCATGGTCTTTGCAGACGCAGCTTTATATGCATTTTTATGATATAGAGCTCTTGGCTTCTGATACAGTCCTTGTCATGCTCTTTCGTGCATTTGAAATTACTGTGTTTTCTTGTATGAGAAGGCAGGAATAATATTTGCTGTACCGCTAGCTGAAATGAAGTACAGTTGTTGGGAACATGTCACCAGGATGTTCTGTGCTAGCTCCTGTTCACGTGTCTTTCAGGTTTGGCCACCTATGTTCAGTGCCATACAGTGAGGTTGACTTTTCCTACCCGAGAATGCACCCCTTTCCTTGCAGCCACACAGTGTCTTAGTAGCCAGTTGTACGTATCAGAGATGTGTGTGAGCGGAGGGACAG